TTAGATTTTTTTGGCACATCACAATAGCCTGGTCCATGAAATATGTATAATCCGACAAATCTCGCTTCTTTAAAAAATTATAAAATTCGATTTTGCCATTTTCGTTTTTGTGATAATTTCTATAAAGTAAAAACTAGCGGAATAAATAACACCCCCACAGCCCCTGCGCCAAGAATTTGCGCTCCCAAGTGCAGACAATATAAAATATATTTAAAGCTCCTCTCACTAATAACAAGCGTTAGTTCAGGTGTTTATGTTTATAAATCGAAACAATGTCACGTAGAAATCAGTTTGATTTGAATGAATTTGTCTCCTCACTTAAATTAATATCAATTAAACCATTCATATTTTTTATGGTAAGTCAAATGCTAAAAAAAAAAATAAAAGATAAATAATTATAATTATTGAGTCAGACCAAATTTCCAAGCTCACTTTTTCAATCTTTATTGCAATACAACAAATTCTCAACTGTACTTACCTGATAAAGGGATACTGATTATTCATTAAACGAGAAAGTTTTAACATTAGTGAAATTACCATTCCTAATGTAATTTCGACATTCTAGTAACTAATTTATGTTACAAAGTTGTTTAGTTCATATCATAAAAGCATCCATATAAAAATGAAACCTTAAATAGATACTTAAAAAGCAAAAAAATTGAACTCCACAAAACGCAAATGAGTGCTGATTACATAATTGAGTAAATCGAAAAAGTGAACTATTTCACAAAATTTACCTATCAAACCAGACAGGTTGCAGAATTATGAAAGCAATAAATAACATTTATAGCGCTGTGGTAAACAAAGCTGATAATATGTAAATGGAAAATTCGATGAGTTAATTTAACATTTTAATTTGTCCTGCTCATTAATGCATCTTTTGATTAGAAGCGTCTAGAAAAATCACTTGAAAAGTTCGAAAATTATAGATCCATCTCAGAAAATATTTGATCCAGTATGTAGTAGGAAAAAAGCGCAAAACAAAAAGTAAATGATGAGGATGAAAACGATTCACTGCCAAATACTGATAGTAAAAATCTTGAAGTAAAAAAATTAAAAGTTGAAGTTTGCTTTATTATAATTTTAATATTATTTGATGTTTAAATACTTATTCAAACTAAATAGCTGACTTTTTTGTTTATTGCTTACAAAATTAACACAAATTTCCTGCTAAGACCTTGCGTTTTTAGCAAATGTATTACAACTGATAATTTTATCACAACTTTGGATAAGGGGCCAAAAGTAATGTCGCCCCCACCATTATTACGTATACTCATTAGTGTTACAATACGAATTATGTTACTTAAAATCGTTGGAACATGAAATGAATTGATCGTTAATTAAGTTAACAATCACACAGTTGTATAGAGAGTAAATGTTTTGGTGATTCCTAGAAAATTAGATATGCGAAACGGACAAATAAAAATGATAAAATTAAATGCAAGATAAACGAAAAAGCAGCACAAAAATATTAATAAACAAGTTTTCCGTTTGAAGTTGGCTGTGTATTGATTTTAAACTAAGTCATAACCAGCTGTAAGTATTAAGCTTATTACACACTGAACATTGTAAAGATAAAATAAGAAAAACTTAAAATTTGCTAGAAGAAATTTTATAAGGATAAAAATATTGGTAATGTATTGTAATAATCATCATAACCTAACGGGTAGCACCGTAGTTAATGGAGAGTAAAGCTGGAAAAATTAAAGCATTAGAAAACGTTTACGATAAATATCTGAGAAAGTTACAAGTATAGTCTGATCAAATTTTTGCACATTTTCTAAAAAATTTATTCGGCAAAATTTTGAGATGACGTAATCAATTTTTTGGGGTTAATAAACATTTTGATTAAAAAGTTACTATAATAACTTCACAACGCAACGTCAAGATTTCAAAGTAATATTCAGTTTTGCAATTCTTGCTTTAATCAATAAAATAAATTGACTCAGTCATTAATTTTTTTCAGACACCCCGTATAAGCAAATCTAATAAAAAATCCAAATAAAAAATTTTAATGCAGTGATAAATCACAAGTATGGACTCATCATACTTTACACATTTAAGATAGGATTTTTTGAGCAAAATTTTTGGGTGGCGTCATCAGTTTTTTAGGGGAGATGAGCATGTAAATTTTGATAAAAAATTTACCATGCTTATGATAACTTTAAAATATCTCCAAAATTTCAAACCATTCGGTTTTACAGTTCCTGATTAAATCATTTAAATACATTCACGCATTCATTGATTCTTTTGAGTCACCCTGTATATGCAAATCCAAAAAATATGAATGGAATGATGAATCACAAATACAGACTCATCATATTTTGTACATTTTGGATAAGATTTTTTCAGCAAAATTTTGGATAAGATTTTTTCAGCAAAATTTTGGGGTGGCGTCATCAATTTTTTAGGGGGGATGAGCAAATATATATTTTGATCAAAAATTTACCTGTCCTAAGATAACTTTAAAACATATCCAACACTTCAAATCATTCGGTTTTGCAGTCCCTGATTAAATCAATAAAATAAATTCACCCATTCATTAATTTTTTTGACTAATCCTGTATATGCAAATTCAAAAAATATGAATGGAATGATAAATTACAAGTATAGACTCATCATATTTTGATATTTTAGATAGGATTTGTTCAGCAAAATTTTGGGGTGACGTCATCAATCTTCTAGGGGGGATAAGTAAATATATTGTGATTAAAATTTTATCATAGTTATCATAACTGTAAACCATCTGCAAGATTTCAAAGCGTTCGATTGTGTAGATTCCAAATTAAATGTCAAAATGTTTTTTCCTAATTCTGATTTTTTCTCCAAAAATCTGGACGTTTCGGGTAAAATTTCAATTCGGGGTCATAAACTACATCTGTAAGACTATGTTATTTGATACAATTTAAAACCCAGTTACTATGTACAATTTTGAAGTGACGTCATCACATTAGTGGTGGGGTTTTTACCATACTTTCGGAGATTATCTGTCTAATAAAAATGCGGGACGGCAGACAAACGGACAGACGGACGGACAGACGAACGGACACACGGACAGACAGACGGAAACGGGAGACCTATTTCTTCGTCCTCTAGGGTCGAGAAAATACAAAAGTAGAGAGTCGACCGATGGACTCAATTACAATACTTTCTTTGCTTACGCTCGGGAAGTAAAAAAAGAAAAGCCAAGTTTGGAATCGAACGCGCTATGCCCGATCCGTATTTCTCAAGCTCAACAACACCGCCACTACCGGGATGCTTTACACTGATGGTCAACTACTATTATACCGTCCATTATGTTTTTGCAAAAATTTGGAGGGTTAGGGTAAAACTCAAAACGGATTCGTAAACCACAATTATAGGAATATACTGTTATCTATATGATACTTCTAATATATGTACAAAATTTGAGAACAATCGGTCGAGCTGTTTCGGAGATTACGTGTCTAATAAAAGTGGATACAGACAGACAGACAGACATACAGAAACGGGGGACTACTTTTTTCGTACTTTAGGGGTCAAGAAACGTCGAGAAAATATAAAAGTGGCCGTTCGTCCGATGGACTCGATTACTATACTTCCTTAGCATACGCTCGGGAAATAAAAATTTTTCTGAAACAACGCAAACAATAAATTAAGATTAAACGAATTTAATGATATTAAAAAGTGAGAAAAAGATGTAAAACAAATAAAATATCTAAGAAAATGAATAATAATGAAACAAGAACTGCAAGCCAAAACAAATAACTTGAAGTACACATAACAGAAATTACAAAAATATGTATAGAAAAGAAGACAGAAAGCTGATCAAAAATAATACGAGTATATATATCATACCAAATAAAGTTGAAAATATATATTCAAATTTTCTGGCAAATGAGGTGAAGCGTTTTTGATTTCACCAATGAAATAAATTGCCCCATTTATGAATATCTTTGAGTAATAAGTAATTCTAAAAAATATAAATGCATTGATAACCCACAAATATAGATAAATGTAGATTTTTTTATATTTCAGATACGGTATATTCGGTAAAATTTTGAGATGACGTCAACAATTTTTTGGGAGGGGACAAAAGGATACATTTTTGAGGAACGATTCACCATGATGGTTATAACCTTAAAAAGTTTACAAGATTTCAGAACATTCGGTTTTACAGTTTCAAAGTTATATGGCAAAATGTTATTATATGTACATTTTAGATTTTTTTCCAGAAATCTGTCTGTCTATGGTAAAACCTCAAGACTGACTTATATACCAATTATTAAATTTAAACAACAAATTTACTTCTGTAAATTTTTAAGACGACGTCATCCCATTGACGTAGGTATAATAAACATGTAACATTTGGCAACAATCAGTCCAGTAGTTTCGGATATTATCAGTCGAATAAAAATCGACACAGACATACAGACGACAGACAAGCGGAAATGCGATATCTGCTTTTGCATACTCTAGGAGTTATGAAACGTCAAGGAAACATGAAAGTAGTAATTCGTTGTATGGACCCTAATACAATGTTTCCTAATTAGCTTACACTCGGGAAGCTGAAAACTTAAAAAAAATCTCCGTATTATTTTCGGTCATTCAACAATATTTTCATTTAACATTCATTCCTTCAGACGACTGGATCCATGAATAATCACTTAACAACGTTCCGCCCAATAAACCCCTCTTACTCAACTTTTAATTGCCAAAATCAGAAGTGAACAGCGAAACCTAATTAGCACCCGCTCAGAAAATGAACGATTTCCGTCGAAAAAGTTCAAGTTCACATTGCTCTATGTCAGTGCATTTTTAACTCCGTAAAAAGGCAGAAAAAATCCATTAAATTCGCTAATTAAACCGCACGAAGCGCTTCAGCACCACCAAGACACTCTAGACCGCCTCGGAGTTCGAGAGCTTTTTAACCCGCTCAATTAGCGTCAACTATCAACTTGAATGCATGAAATCACCGAATTATCGAAAGCTCCTCCGGAAGCGCATGTGCGTGGTGTTAGAGCGAGCACTTCTTCATGAATGAAGGAAAGCTTTTAGTGTTATTCGCGCCACCACCAAGTCACAAGTTGAATGGACTTGGCAATGAAACGCGCTCATCAGTTTTGCGGACCCACTCGCGAGTGTTGTAAACGCCGCTTTCGAGTCCACACGAGCGGTTTTTTCGCCAAGATTTAAACTCTGTTGGTAGTTGTGGAGAAAAGTGACTCGTTTTTAATTTTCGATTTTTTTTACGGATTTAGTGTTAAATAAGTTTTGTTTCAAACTTTTTCGAATAGTGTTAGGTGTATCTTGGAGCGACGATGACTTCAGGACCGGTCTAATGACTTTTTGCAACATAGCTGGAAATCAAGCGGTAAAATAGTCAAGGTAAGTTATTTTTTGTTTACTTGTTGTTATTTATGACCGGTTGGTTAAGTATAGATAAATATTGCGAGCACGCGGGAAAAAGTTTAATATCAGTTGTATCTACCAGTAGTAGTGACATAATCGGGGAAGTTTAGTGGAAAGTTTTTGAATTTTTTTTCACTTTTAATTTCACTTCTCGTATAAAATATTTTATTACATCAGTGTCGTTTTTCTACAAGTTTTATGTTGTAAAAAATAATTCGACTAAATGTCAAACTAGATGTTATTACTAACAGTCGTGTGAAATAACAGAGGAAAAAAATATAAGTAAATCTTTTGGATAAATATAAATTTTTGAGTCATTGATGACATCAATAGTGACGATATTCTTGTGTCTAGTAATTTTTTATGTGTAAAATGGTGCTTATTAAAACTTCAAAGAAGGAAAGAAAAATTATCCGTTGAATTGAATAAACACACAGTTTGTTATTTTTCACCAAATGAAAATAAATATAAAATTAAATTAAACAGAGACATAACTGTGTTTTACTGTCTGCTTGTATCTAAGGAAGTGAAACGTTTAAAGGTGCGCTAAAATATTGTGATGTTGGATCAAAACGTCCTCGTACAAAGTAGGTTATTTTGGAATTGAATGTTGTTAACTTAGTTTATCAAAAAATAAATAAAAAAAATACAAAAAACAATGTTGGACGATACTAAGCGTAATATGTGAAATAATAGCTAATCAAAAAATTTCTGGAATAATTTACTACCCCTCGTTTGATTACAGATACCCAAATATATTACAAGATAGAGTTGAATGAAAAAAATCAATAGAGACCAAACATGAAAAATGTAATGAAAGGCAATTCAATTTTTTTCTGAAAAAACGGGTAACCTTGACGAGCGTTTCTGCAAAATAATAGATTTATTTTTTTTATTATTAAAGTGAAGGAAGTTATCTAATTTTTGTAAATAATAGTTGCTTCTTTTATATTATATGTGGAAAACGAAAGTTTTCAAAACAATACGCACAAATTTTAAGTTATAAGGTAAAAATTGCAAAATTTCTTCTTTGTTGTAAAAATTATTTTTAAAATTTTCGCACAATTATAGTACTGGTCCCTTTTAAAAACCAAAAGTTATTTTTTTTTTAATTCAAAAAATAAAAAAAGAACACAAAAATGAAACCATGCCAAAATATAGTTAGAGATGGATTTTTTCGCAATGCTCACTTACATAGAGCTCAGAGAACCGAAACAAATCAAGTGGCAACTAAAACTGCACTAACATCTTTTAATCATGACTTATGATTAATTAGTTTAAAAATACATAAATGTGGGCGCGTGTTATAAAAATTTCTAATTTAAATTATTACCATAAGAAGTCGTGATATAATAAACAACAAATTATGCAATAATTTTTAAACCTTTATGGAAAGTTTATATCAAATTCGATTCTAATCAAACTATTATTCTGCAACTATTAGTTTAGACAAAGTACTGACATTTCGAACTTTGGAACTGAAATAAAACAAAAATTTTAATTCAAATTAAATGACCAAAATTAGTATTTGTTTCGTCAGGCGATTATTGTTTATATATTGTTCTTTAATAATTACAGTTTCAGTCCATAGCATTTTTTACTGACAGTGCAGTAGTAGTACAAAAATAATATAATCAGATTATTTTTTTCTTTTATTGTGTACGTTTATATGTATGAATTAGTAAATTCATTTTATAAAAATGTGTACAAAAAAATAAAAAATTTGCTTCCTTATTTGTTTGTCTCAAGTAGGGAAAAACCGACTCCGTTGCAATTACTGCTTTATTAACTTCAGTTGCATTCGTGTTTCATCTTTAAACCTCTTGTCATAAATGTGTTTACTCTTTTATTTTGTTTTCGTGTATATTTTAAACCGGTATATAATTAACGAAAAAATGTCCTCTTTTTCAGTAATTTGAATAACATTTAACAACTTCATTAACGCAGCAGTTTGATTGTGTTTACTTCATTCAATATTTATAATTGCAGTTTAAAATGAATATTTAAAAATTATGTAATTAATTAACTTGAGGTAACCTGCCTTCACTTTTCACTCGAATGTAAAAAAAATTAAGTACGCAACACCCCTCAAAATATTCTTTTTACAATAAAATCATTGTACACGTTGCCCCGAGGCTCGTTCTATGTATAATTTAACTCTGCGAACAAAACTCGTCACTCAGGTACTTTTTTAGAATTTTTTTTTATTGATGAATTCGACATACACAAATTTTTATTTGTGTGGGACGAAAATGTGTAATTTAAAATATTTCCGCTACAAAGAGCGATACAATCAGCGTAGGCTAAATTTTTAATTTTCGGGCTTTGGTGGAAAAATTGTGTTTTTTTTTTATTTTGGTCTTTTAATTTCGCTTGTTGCAACTTACTTATAAAAATGTTGTTCTGCTGTTCGTTAACAACACTGGTATTCAGCCTGGTGTTATTATTGAAAATGCATTTAATTTATTGAGTGAAATATTTTTATTGCGTGAGACCACAATTTCTTTGCAGGTTTCTGTTTATGTCGAAAGTCGAATCCACATTCAATGAGGCAAAAAACCTGTCCCGGCATTAATATTTTGCCAAGATAGTCAATAAACAATTCCAACATTATCGATGTAAAATACCTATGGATTTTTATTGTGAATAAAGTAACAACTTCTTTTCTTTTTGTTAGTGTATTTTTTTAATCCCATTTTTCTACACTTTGAAATTCTGGCCAACATGGTTAGTTTAAGAATTTACTCTACAACATAACACAAAATTAATTTTGTGGTTTTTAACTCACCTCCTTAAGAATACCTCCAGGACCTTGGCACGTGTTCTGGTTATGTAAATTAAACACGAGATGGATTCACCCATCATTTCGAGAAATTAACAGTTTATATTCGAATTCTTCAAAAAGTTTAGTATGTTTTTTAGAACTCATCAGAGACTAGTGTTGGTAGGGATAAGTTTAGGGCTATTAGAGAACTCACAAATCTATTTTTTTATTTATCGTTGATTAATAAATAGGCGACGCTACATTTTTGTAGTCTAATAATTGGAGAATTTTTATTACTCGGACACTTGATCTTATTGTTGTAGTTTTAAGTTCACTTTCGACATACAGCAACCTCGACTCGCGATTTTAAAAAAATAGTTATGCGACCGCTTTTATTTTAAGCGTGTGGTGACGCTTTATTTTTGATATTATCGAAACCATATTCAAATTAAATGTCCAAAAAAAATTTTAAATAAACATATTTATCACGATATTCTTGTTGCACTATTTGGAGGTTTCGTGTTTATGTTCTAAAGTAGAATAACTTTCAACGATTCTGGTTTTTGCCTTAACCATAAAGTTAATATTTCGTAAACCACGAGTGGCCCTTATGTATGCTTTTATGTTTTGCTTAAATATAATTTGGGACAATTTCACAGCTAATAATTTCAGTATGATTTTATAACCATAGTAATGCAGTAAAAACATTGGAAGCTGTCAATGGCCATATAAAAAAGAATGTAATGTTGAAAAGCAATTAATTTAAATCTGGTGGTTTATACATAAGGTATGGTAAGCTTATGATGCCGTTGATTTAAATAAATTACAAAAAAAAAGTCATAAAACATGAACAGAAGACGTTATTGTATGAGATAAATAGGCGAGAGTGCTTCGTATTCGACAGCAGGTTATGAACCTAAGACACGTCCATTTGATTGATTGGGTACGTGATAGAAATAAAGAAGTAATCTAATCATTATGAATGTAAACATTTAAGATCCATTATCAAAAATTAACTACGATACGTGATTACAAGTGTAAACTGCTTAATTAGGGGTGGAATAATAGTATTAATGGAACATATAAGAATTTAGTACAGAAAATTTTCTGCTCACACTTGGAAACAGATAAAATCTTGTAGTACTTCAAAAGGTGTTTGTTAAAATTATTATTATAAGTATGAATTTGTGAACCATGTGAAAAAAATCCTCCCTGTGGCAAACGTTATTATCTAATTTTTATTAATATAAATTTCGTTATATAAATTATGCATTTACATAATCATAAATTACGTTGTATTCAAACAATCTGCGCTCTGTGTCTCTGTGTCGTGTTTAAATATAACAAGACTGGTTAAGCAAAACTGTAGATTAGTTTCATAGATAAACTATAAAATTTTATGGTGACCTTATCAACTTTTAAGCGAGGAGAGTTTTATACCTCAGTATAACAGTGTTCTCAAAATGTCGGCAAATTTAATTCATTCGTTTTTTATTTAATCAGTAAAATTAATTACATCATCCATTAATTTTTTTGAACACCCTGTATAAACAATTCTAAAAAAAGTAGAATTAGAATGGGCAGAGTTCTTTGTACATACATTGCAACCGAGATCCACTGTGTAATAACATGACGTCATCAAATGTTGAAAGGGATAAACAAATAAATTCTAATTACGATTTTGTTCAAATCTATGCAAAATTTCGGAGCAATTTGTAGTTACTAGGATAGATAATCACATTTTGATATGTTTCCTAAAAACTACTTCCCCAGAGTTAAAAACATGAGTAGCTAATAAACTAATGTACATAAACATGATATTTTTAAATATTTACTTAACAATATTTTGAGACCACGTTGGGGATACAGCATACACATAAAAATTTTGGTTGCCAATCTTAAAGTTCACCTAAAATGTTACAGTATTCTGTGCGGTAATTTTAAATATTAGTTATTTATTAATACAATCTGCAACAAACAAACAGACAAGCGATCGCCAAACGGAATTAGCAGTACTAATTTTTTTTTTATTCTACGAGCTATGAAAAGTCGAGAAAACATTAAATTAACCTAATGGATCTGATTACAATATTTTCTTATCTTACGCTTTGCAAATAAAATTTATCGTTGTAACTGCACTTTTTTAATTATATGTTCAATTATTTTCTTTCTTCTCGTCTTGATTTCATTTATACATAATAATGTTAAAAAA